TTCGGCAATGAGAACGGCATCTTCGTGCCGCTGCCCATCATCAACAGCTTCAGCAATTCGCTGCAGGTGGCGCGACCGCCGATGGGCGTTCTGCCGCCGCTGCCACCGGTTCGCCCGCCGGCCATTCGCCCGTCGCCCATTCTGTCGCGGCCGATTCTGCCGGCAAAGCAGATTCTACCAGCGCAGCCAGTTCCTTCGCAAAAAGCTCCTCCGCCACCGATTCTGCCTCCTCCGTCGTCAACTCCGCTACAGTCGCCGCCAGTTCTTCTGCCTCAAGTTTTTCCGCCTTCAATTCAATCGCTTTCAGTGGTTCAACCGCCGCCACCACCATCGCCAGTGGTGATGGCGGCGGGAACTGTAGTTCAACAACAACAGCAATCATCATCACAACAGCCACAACAGCCTCCAGCTACCAGCAGCAGCACAACCTTTGAGCTGAAAACCAATCTTCAGCCGCCAATTCCAATATTTTCCACTGAAAAGGTCAACGCAGGCACCAACATCAGCTCCAGCTCCAGCCTAGCCAGCTCCAGTTCCAGCTCCAGTTCCCACCACCACCGGACAGTACCGCCGATCATCAGCGACACTAAGAAGGTGGTGCGCGAGGGCCGGCTGGGCTACCCCTGCACCAGGTGCCCGCTGGTCCTGCCGGCGCCCAGCAAGCTGAAGGNTACCGCCGATCATCAGCGACACTAAGAAGGTGGTGCGCGAGGGCCGGCTGGGCTACCCCTGCACCAGGTGCCCGCTGGTCCTGCCGGCGCCCAGCAAGCTGAAGGAGCACATGCGCAGCGTGCACATCGGCCTGCGGGAGCACCGCTGTCCGGTGTGCGCACGCGCCTTCGGCAAGAAGGAGAACCTGAAGCGGCACTTCGTGCTGCGCCACCCCACCGCCAAGCCGTACTTCGCCGCGCAGCAGTGCCGCTACTGTCCGGCGGCCTTCCCCACGCGCCCCGCCCTGGAGGCGCACTGGGTGGCGGTGCACCGGCTGAACAACAAGCTGAGGTGCGACCAGTGCGAGAAGACCTTCTCACGGAACTTCCGCCTGCAGAATCACCGCCGCCGGCACCACCACAGCCCCGGCGCCCCGGAGGAGGCGGCGGCGGCGGCGGGGGCGGCGGCTGCGGTGAAGCCCTTTCCCTGTCCCTTCTGCGAGTGCACCTACAAGCAGGTCAGCCAGCTGAAGATGCACCTCAGGATACACTCCATGGAGGGCGACGGCGGCGACGAGGAAGAAACGGTCGACGGCCCAGCTGAGGGTCAAGAAGGCGAAGAGGCCAGTATGGGGCGAAAAAAGACAAAAGATGAGGTAAAAGTGGAGCCAGTGGAAAATGGAAACACTGCTGAAGTGCTGAATGCTGGTGATAAAGAAGGAGAAGGTGAAGAAAAAGAAGAAGAGGAAGAAGAAGAAGAAGTTTCTGAGGACACCAGTGATGATACTGATGATACTGATGATGATGATGACTTCGTTGCTGAAGATGATGATGAGGATGAAGAGGATGATGAAGATGACGATTGTAGTGACAGTACTGAATAAGAAAAACAAAACAGTGAAAACAGTGTTTTTGAAACGCAAACAAATTTTTATGTATATTTTTCGAGTGATACAAAGTAATAATTTAAAATAATCAAATAAAGAAATGGTTTAATGTAATGAAAGTTGAGATTTTTTATGGAATACTAAATACTGTGTTTTTTAGTAGTATGCAGAAGAAGAAGAAGTAGAGGAAGTGTGTTCATCACTTCAAAACGATTCTTTTGCGGGGGCGGCGTTTCTTCTTGATGATTTGAACATCCGGTTTAGCTTTTGCAGGAGAAGAACGTGCAGAGAGTGTTTGCATTTCCGCTTGTTCTGGCTCATCATCATCATCTTCTTCTTCTTCTTCATCAGTTTCCTGCACCGTAAAACGACCTCGCTTTGGTTTAAATAAAAAACTGCTGTCCAGGTCACTGTCGGCGGAATCAGAATCAGAATCAGCAGCAACAACAGCATTAGAACTGATCAGATCTTTTTGAGCAGATCTTTTGAGTGTAGTCAAAGCAGTCTTTTTGGTGTTAGTTTCAGCAGCCTTCTTAGCTTCGGTAGCAGCCTGTTTTGTTTTGACGGCCTTTTTGGCAGATGCAGGAACTTTACGAATGCTCGTTCCAGTTGTTCCTTTTTCTTCTTCATCAATTGCACTGTCATCATTATCATCATCATCATCATCAGTGTACACATCATTAATGAAAAGCTTCCTTGGCAGAGATTTGCGCTTAGCTGGAGCGTTATCCTTATCAGTTGAACCGTTTTTGGTCGAGTTTTGGCTGCCACTGTTCTTGAGACCTGAACCAGAAGAAGGTTTTCTTCCTTTTGCTGCCAGTGAAGATAATGTTGATGATGATGTCGGTGTTGATGCTGATGACGATGATGATGCTATTTTTTCATTGGAACGCTCCTTTGAAGTCTGCAGGAAAAAAATGTAAACAAGTGTTAGTCAAATAAACTGTGTACTCAATTGAAAAAATGAAATGCTAATCTTACCACCGAAGTTTTTTCCGGCGACTTTTTGCCCTTGAGCTGTGGAGAAGAGGCAGCTGAGGCGACTGAGGTGCCCACATTTGACTGCATCTTTTCCCGAGGAAGAAGAAGAAGTTCAGGTTGTTGATCATTCTTCGCCTCAGCCTCAGCCTCCGCCTCCGCCACCGCCTGCTGAAGCGAAAAGTCCTCGGTGTCCTTCCACTCGCTCAGGCGGTGGTGCCACTGATTTTTGTGGAGCTCTTTCAGGTACACCTTTCCATCGGTGAGCACCACCACCTGCGACCAGTCAAAGAGGCGCATCAGGCTGTCAAGCGGTCCTTTCGGTTCGATTTGCTTATTTCTATCTTCATTTTCTTCCTTCTCCACATTTTCCTCCACATTGTCTTCCTCCTCAGTTTTGTCCTTTTCGCCTTCATCATCAGCGGCTTCATTTTCATCCCCAGCATGATCATCGTCTGATCCATTTTTGCATATAAAATCCTCGTCCGATCCATTGTCGCTTTTGTAATCTTCGTCCTCCTCCTCATCTTCACTGGAAGAGCTGAGCACGTCAAAGTTGTTGAATCTGTCGTCCTCGTCAACAACGATTCCATTTCCCTTTCCGGTTAGGCTCATCTGCTTGGAGCTGAGCGCGGCAATTTCATCTCGGTCCTCGGTGGCTCGGCTGGTAAACAGCTTCTCCAGACAGCGTCGTCGTTCACTGGCAATGGCAGTAGTCCCTTGTTGCTGGTTTTGGGAAATGCTTTCAATGTACTTTTGGCAGTTTGTCTTCACTGGCCTACAGGGCGGCGGCAGCTGGACGCCGGCCACGTACG